CATGGATTCGTATTGTCTTTACTCTCAGTACAAAGGGACTCTATATGCCACCGTTCGTCCTAAAAAAGGAAACGTGCAGTAGGTACTTTTCTGACACCTCATGTACTCGCTCTCTGTCGCTAACGCAGTCCAAATGGACTGCATTTTGCAATATGGAACTATAAATTGTAGCCCGGTTTAAAAACAACGTATGTGCCATCAGTTTCCCTATGCACATTGTTGCACATAAGTGTTTTTCCAGAACAGCCAAAATTTATAGCACCACATCGCAAAATGCAGTCCTAATGGACTACGTTGGCAACAGAGAATTACTCCATTTCTGACTGGCCCCTAAAAACACCTACCTGCACGGAGAAACAAATGACACATATTTGGACGCTTTTAAATCAAAAGGAACTACATCCATTCCGACATGAGCCCCGAGATCAATTAGAAATTTAGAATGCATGCAGGACCGAGCTCATGTCACAATGGATATAGTTCTTTCAGATTTGATTGCGTCCATCTGAACTGGGCCAAAATCGGCCCTTATCGATATCCCTCCTCCAGTGTTCGAAACTCACCTTTGAGTTTTAGGAGCCATGTGGCGCATCAAGGCCGATTTTTAGGCGCCATTGAAGATTTTTTAGGGGCCAAATTGACTTTTTGCCTATATATTACGGCGCATTTAGTGAAAAGGTAGACGCAAGATGTTTTCCTAACAGAACTTGCAAGTAGCTGTAACTTGGGGAAGACAAAAGCTCAAATGATGAAATCGTGAAGAATAGAAAAAGCTCTCACCGAAAATTTCGAATAATCACCTAATAGGAAAATTCAGATTTTTAGGGGCTACGTTGGCGCAGAGCCCTCATTTTTTAGGCGCATTTGGCGCGTTGGCGCCTGTGAGTTTCAAACACTGCCCTCCTCTAGAGTCCCTTTATACTGAGAGTCAAGACAATTCGGCTCATGGATGTCACAAACGGGAATAAAGATTACAGAAATTGAACGTTTTTCGTAATCTTTGATCGGCCCATTCTCAAATGCCTCTCTCCGTTCCTCCTCTCATTCCGTTTGTTCCTTGCCGAACCCGTAATTCCCTGGTCCATTCCAGATTATAATCTTTGCAATTGGTGAAAATGTAATCTTTATTCCCGTTTGTGACACTGTGGAGGCCTAAAATACGGGAACCAATCAGAAATGGATTCAAATTGTCTTGACTCTAAGTATAAAGGGACTCTACCCTCCTCTATCGATTTCTCATGTATGCCTTTCTATGTGTTTTAAAGATCATCACGCGGCCGGACGGAGATCTACCCGACGTCACGTTCCCAGCCTTATCCGACGACGCCAACCTGAAAATCCTGAGGAAACTCGTCTCCCACGGGCCGAACATCGAGCACCGGCACCGAGAGGGCGGGACCCTCCTCCACTGGGCCGTGCGGTCGCGGGACGAGCGGACCGTCGCGCTACTCCTGGCGCGCGACTCCCGGGTCGCCGTCGACGCCCGGACTCGCGACGGGCGGACGCCCCTCCGCCTGGCCGTCGACACCTACACCTGGTCGCCGGACATCATCCGCGGCCTCCTGGACAGGGGCGCCGACGTCAACGCCGCCGACGCCAAGGGCGTCACGCCGTTCCTGGTCGCCCTCCGAATGCACGGCGTCACCGACGTCCCCCATTGGTTGATCGAGAAGGGCGCCGACGTCACCGCCCGCGGCGCCTTGGAACTCGCCGCCGAGGCCGATCCGCGCTACTTGGCCCGGATCCTGGACAACCTGGACCTGGCCACCAACCGCGGATCCTGCCTGGAGCTCTTCAGGAGTGGTGGACAGGAGGCCGTCCGGATGCTCTTCGACCACGGCTTCACGCTCGCGCCGGAAGACGCCAAGGATATCGAGTTATTGCACGCGGCGCTGCGGCTCAATCAACGCCACGTGGTCGAGGATCTAGTGAGCTGGGGCGCAATTGCCATGGCACCGCCGGGCGTCACCAGAGACCTCCTGGCGCGAGCTATAGACAGCGCCAACCTCACCGCAATCGAGTGGCTTTTCGGCATCGACGAGGGTCTATCCAGCGGTTTCGCTCTGGAGAAAGCCATCGTTGCGAGGAACGCCAGCGTCGTGGAGACAGTCCTGCGGGTGGGGGATCTACGGCTGGATGGTGTTTTCGAGGGCGCGGCTTTGGAGAGCCTGGAGGATCTCGAAGTTGAGGACGCAGACGAATTGCGAGAGGTGATCTGCCGCCACGTCGTCTTGGTAGCGACCGCCGGGTTGGAGATCAACCAAGGGTGTCCGCAGTACCGGAAAGATGAACTGCCCGAGTGGGTCTCGGAGTCGGTGCCGGCGTCGTTCTTGGTCGAGTGCGTCGCCGAGGTGGCTTTTCTGAGGACGTTGAGAGTGGGCGACTCGAGCGCGACGTTCTACGACGTGTTGAACGCGAGCTCGGCCGGGATGGCGCGGCTCCTGAAGGACCCCGTCGTGCGGGGCACGCTCGAGTCGCGGAGCTTCGCGACCGAGTTCCCGCGGTTCTGGCCCCTGGTCGACGCCAGGGTCCGCAGCGGCGACCGCCGCAGGGATCTCGTGGATCGAGGCGTCGAGGGCTTCGGGTCCCTGGCGCCGCAATGTCACCTGCTCCCGTTCCATCTACGGGAGAGGATCTTCGGGTACCTGCGCAACCACGAGTTGTTGGTTTTGATCGAGGCTTGTCGATTAGGAAAGGGTGAGAATGATACGGACCCGAGGTGATCCAGATGGAACTGAGCAAATGAGGCGTCCGGAACCAGAACCGGCAATCTCCATATTGCCCTGTGAGGCCGTCCACAAATTACTTAAGGCACTTAGGGGGGGGGGGGGGGG